ATTGGGAGAAAATGTTCAACATATTGGGAAAATTTGAATTTTTTTTTTAACAGCAATCAATGAAATGAAAATTTTACAAATGACTTTAAATTTTTTTTAACACTTGTGTATGGTCATATAACCAGTTCATAAGTCAAAAACAGTTTCCGTCCTTCCCCCAAAGTTTAAAATTGGAAAAAGGACTAATTTTGTATTGGGAAATTAAAGGGGCAAATTTAATTTTGGGCCCCTGGTGATCGAGGGTAAAAATTGCCCTTACTATGTGTAAAAAATGCCCTGCTATACCAAAATCTTGAGGCAAGTTTTCAAGCAATACTTGATAATGAATAAATTGTAAATGTACACAGTCTTATATTAAATATATCACAGATAATACATACTTGCCATTATTTAGTTATTCTAACACAAGTGAAAAATCAACGGGAACAATCAGAGACAGATATTATGTTTCTCATGGAAACAATATAGAAAAATAATTCAAAACAAAGTTCTACTTAAAGCAGTTATAAGGAATATGAAATCAGAATAGAGGAGACTTTTGGTAAACCCAAGAAATAAGCCAAAATAGATCAGAGCAACATTTTTATATTGAGAAGTGGGAAATTGGATTTTTCTCAAAAATTTGAGTTTTGTGAAAATTATGAAATATTCAGATGATATAATTTATTTAAAGGTTTTTTTTTTATTGACACTGTTACATTGTAACATTGTGTTAAAATTGTTATTTTTTAATTTTTTTAAAAGCTAAGATATTTCACATAGAACTTCACTTATAATGAAATGACCTGCTCTGATTCTATAATACTGGGAGTAAATAGTTAAATGAACTTAATGTCAATAAAACATTCTGTTATTTGTTGACTTGAGATGCAAAAAATACTTTTTATTTTTTGTTGTTAATTCTTCTACATTTTAGTAATAATTATTTGTTCTTGTTGGAAAGATTTTGTGTATTTTAAGTGTTTGTTTGTATATGTTAGATATTGTATAACAAAAATATAGATGATGATTGTATTGTTTTATTTTATTGATGTAAAATGTAGGTGGTCATGTGACGGTATAGGTGGTCATGTGACAATATAATCATGTGACAATATAGGTGGTTGATGTGACAATATGGTGGTCATGTGACAATGTAGGTGACAATTTGACTATGAACATGATGAAGGTAATATGTGACTTAAAGGTTTCATCAGACACCAGAAGAGATCACATGACTTGATGCACGGTCATGTAAAAGTTTAGGCATTAATGTGGACAATATAGACAGTCATGTGACAATATAGACAGTCATGTGACTATGAAGGTGGGTCATGTGAGTATAGATTTCATGAAGTTTTTGAAAAAGTCACAGTATATTGGGGTATATTCATGCAGGTTTTCTGTTAAGTTAATATTTTTTGTATGCTGTCTGAAAATGAAATTGATTGGTATGTTATTTCTACACTAAAAAAACCTAAGGAAGTTAAAGATGCAAAATGTGCTGTTTTAAATATGTACTTTATTTCAAAATTCATGCATTTGTAAATCATTTTGAGAATAACATTGTATTAAAATCTGAAAAAAATAATAGTGTACAAGCTGTTCTATTAAAAACTAGTTGGAAAAAAATACATTTTATATGGGTTCAAATACTGAAATAATCATGAAAATCACATACAACAGTATAGGTTTTTTTGCCTGTTTTATTCAGAGCACATGCTACTATTCTGAATTATGCATTTGTGTGTATAATAGCATATACCACTGAATTCTATTTTAGCCTGTGTACTCCAGTAAATGGCATATTATGTTGGATATTATATGTATTTCCCATTCCCATACATATTGTTGGTGCTTAAGCTTTATTTTTTATTGAAAGCACATTATCTTGCAGACTTAGTGTAGCAGTATATGAGTAAAGATATGATATTATAATTAAATAGTAAGTAAGTTATTTTTGGTATATTTTTCCATGCATGATCTTTTTTTAAAGGGAAGTAATTCATGGTAACGTAACTGTGTTATTTAATGCTTTGATAAAGAAGGCTTTTATGCTAGGCCAATTTTTTATTAAAACTAATGACTTTGTTAATGTAGCATCTGTGTAGATAGTCAATTTTTGGTGTCCAGTTTTAGATTATACAGTATACTTGATAGAGAGATGTCAACAAACAAACTAACAGGTAATGCACATTTTAGATAGATCTATGCAAATTAGAACAAGGAAAAAAACTTGAACATAAATTTAGTCATTCTGTGCTTTTCATTTACATTTCTGATAAAATAAGAAATCAATACAAAAAAAATGTTCTCATGGATTTTCTTTGAAAAAGAATCAAACATGTGTCACATCTTGAAAGTAGTTGCTTTGTATTAGAACAAAAGAATTGTTTTAATTATGTTGAATGTTGTATCTCCACATGTATACCAATTATCTAAATATCTGTTTCATGTCAGGCTTGAAAACAAAGGTAAAAAATTGTACATGTACAAGAGTTATTCTTATCTATGTACCATGATAAAACATTTTGAGACTACTCAAAGCACATATTTATATAGCATAAGACTTATTTAGTGTCTTTGCTTGAACAACATATATTGTTCTCTAAATTTTTACCAGTTTCATTAAAAAAAAAAACAACTGGCTATTAGATCTTTAGCAGATTTTGAAAAAAAAAAAGTTTTTATTTTTGTCAACAGTGTATGCTTTACAAAATGTAATCTATTCTGTTAACAGTGAATATATTTTATATAATCAATAAACCTCTACTATCTGAAGTATACCAGTACATAATTATATTATACAATTCATAGTAAAGTTTTGTATTGATCTGCCTCAGAAGTATGGGGATATAGTGACTATTTTGTGTATTTTGTATTTATGATTCATATGTTTGTATAATTGTTCTCTGTCATTTTATTCTGTTATGATTTTACAGCTTTAACATGTGAACTAAAGTTTAGTGAATAGTTAATAGGGGAGATGTGACATAATTATAATAAAAATGTGAGAGAATTGTTTTACCTTGTATTTGTCTCAATATTTTCCACTCCAGTTATTGTAACTATTATCGTGTTTACCCCAAACCAATCAACCCTTAAAATATAGATGTTATCTGAAACTCAGGAAATGTATTTTTCAGCAGCTAATCCATCCGTTCAAACTTTTACTGTCATTTTTTCACAATGCACTACCCATCACAATAGTTGAGTCAACCTGATGCACTTATTTCTGAAGTTATACCTGTTAAAGTTTTTTTGTGTACCTATGGGTTAGCTGGGAAAAACACAAAATATTCTTAATTCTGTAGTTAGTCTATTGCCATGATACTGATTGTCATAGTTGTACCATTCTTATAATGGTGTTTTGCTATAACCCATGCCATCAAGTAATTGAACTCCCAAGAAGTCACCACGGCCAAATCAGGTTACAGCCACTGACTGCCATGCAGTAATGCACTGTTAACATTCTCTCATGTCAGACAGCTAACTTGTAGTAGGTTCAGGTGGTTTTCTATAATCACTTTAACCATCAACTTACATTTCCTATAAACTTCAATGGAAATGATCTTGTCAACATGGCTCTTGTTCATGTTATCTTCCCGAATGAGCATATCACCTATACCTTCAGCAATTCAACAGAAATTTGACCCTACAGTGTTTCAATTGCTTTAACCTTTAATTGTAATCTTGAATTTTTAAGGTAGACCATGTGAAGTGTCTAGTCTGCACATTATCTCTTGGAGATTTAGTAGAAATGTGTCTATAGGACACAGGTGCCCCCACACTCCACCATTTGTCAATCTGCTGACTCTAGGTCAAATAACTTTTGGGCTACACCTGACACAAGTTGAAAATTTAAATCTTTTACTTAGTCAATGGCAATAACAAATACTGATATAAATCCACAAGCAAACCCTCTGGTGCAAAACATGTGACCAACATTCTTGTATAGTTTCAGGTCAAATACTTTTTGAGCTATGCATGAACAAATTGAAACATGCAAATTTATACTTAGTCCGGTTAATAACTCTTTCCAAATTGGAAAAATCGAGGTGCACTTCTCAAATGTTGATCAACATTCCTGTAAAGTTGCTTTATTCTAGGTCGATTTCTAATTTTTACTAACTCTGACAAAACAGAATTAATTTACAAGCGAAATCCCAGGTGCACAACTTGGCATGCTCATTAAGATTTCAACAGCACAAGCACTATTAGACGAGAACACACATGGACAGACAAAGGTAAATTTAAATCCCCCCATCCCGATAGTTGGGGCACAAAAACATTAAATGAGACAAGGCATTAATATGAATCATGTCACAACAACTTCTTCAAAAAGTTAATAATCAAAGAAGCATGGCTGAGTGGTTAAGATTTCGGCTAGCCAAGATTTCTGACTGTGATTGACTTGCATTTCACTACTGTGACTCTCAAGTTGGCAGTTTTTATAATGCAATTTCTTATACACGATAAAGAATTTAAGGTGTATTAAAGGCCTCTCTAGAACTAGGAAGTCCACAATATTGTGCAACCTATAAAATATGTGTTGTTTAAGTTTGACTGCTGGAGAAGACTTCAGGTGCCCCTCCTTGAACAATTTCAGGTACAAGGTGAAACCATTGTACAACCAGAAGCTTTTTGTGAACTAGCTGGATAGCTTTCTTACTCAGAATATTTCTTTAAAGATATTATTTGTTGATGTTATCTATGTGTAGGTTTTAACTCTCCATCTAGTATTTGTATTTTGGAGTGAATTGTGTGATACACCACACAAGTTGTGACTATTACCACAGATTGACCCTGAACATTTGATGTCCTCACAAGTAAAATATACTCTCCTATGAGAGCAAAAGGACAAACGTCTGACGATTAATGCCAGATCTATATCCATTTGCCTTTAGTGGGGATAATGATATAGAAAGGAGGCCTAGCAAGGATATCAAGACAAACTTTGGGGTAATTCTGAAAGATCCCACAGAGAGTCGTGGACCTGAAGTAATAAACATAACACTTCAATATTAGCACTCTTTAATACTTGTAATTCTTCTAAACATACATGTATCACAAACTTACTAACAGATTTGCTAGGTTTTGTATTTAAATGAGCTTTTTTTAGCAGATTAAAAGAGAGTCAGTTTATATAAATTTATTTTAGTTTGTGTTGGAAGCCGTTAGCTTATTGAAACGCTCTCAAACCCGTTCCTGAAACCAACCAGTACTAAGCAAAGAATGTAAAGTTTCTTTGATTATGTCACATGGTTAGCCTATGATGACGTCACATAGTTAGCTGCAAAACTACATTATAAACATTGTTTTATCAGGAAAAAAGTCAGAATGAAACCATTTAAATAATCTAAAATCATGATTAAACTAGACAGCAGCAGGATAAATCAAATAACATCCAAAGATTATTACTACTTTTTTATAATAAAAAAAAACACTATAATAAAAAAGAACAATATTAGTATTTTGAGACTACTTGCAAACAATGATTTAGATTGTACCTAGTTATATATAAACACACAAGCACTGTTAAAGTCAAGTAATCCTTCTGCTCAAGAGTTCACAAAAGTTTTCTTTACTGAGTGTCAATCTTATTCTTTTGTTAACATAAAAGATCGTAACATAGTAACATACACAATAGCTTACATCTCTCTGTAATTTCCATCCCAAAGTAGGCTTGACAAAATATAATGAAATACATAAAAAAAAAGTGTTTCCCACATGTTTTTGTTTTAATGTTCAAAATTATTTTCTCCATTTCTTCACAGTGCTTGTTCTTCACTATTGTTGCATCTCTCCATCCAGCGCACATACAATTATCAAACATAGGTCACACTTCAGGTCCTTCCCCACCTGGTACTAACTGAAAGCATAATACACATACAAATATTTCCAAATTTTATGATTTCTTTCTTCACCGTTTCTTTACCTGCTCACCTAGGCACACAAAATCTCAGAGGTCAGCTTTATGCTGATACATTATTGGGCATCATTGTCCAAACAAGATTCACTTCATCAACAGCATGTTAAATTTTGAACAAATTCCACAGGAGTTTTGAATACAGCACATTAATGTGAAATATAATAGACATTATGATCAATAGAGGATAACAGTTTGATTTCATTTCATTTACATAGATGATATTGAATGAGTGTAGATTAAATACTTAATTTATTAAACATGTCCAAAGTCGGATAAATTCATATTACGCCACACAGTGTAATGCTTACATTAGTACACTACCACTATGTTTGTATATGACAACAAGAGCTGTCGGTAGGACAGCATGCTCGACTATTCTTAGTGCTTGATAGTAAAAAAAATGCCTGATACAGTTACCTCCTCCTGTTTACAGGTTGGGGTCATGATGGTGAACAAGTGTGCAAAGTTTCAAAGCCATATGTCAATGGACTTTGAAAATATTTGAACTATTACAAAAACTTTAACGTAAATTCTAAGTCAAAAAAGGGGCATAATTCTGTCAAAATGCTTGATAGAGTTACCTCCTCCTGTTTACAGGTTGGGGTCATGATGTTGAACAAGCGTGCAAAGTTTCAAAGCCATATGTCAATAGACTTTGAAAATATTTGAACTATTACAAAAACTTTAACGTAAATTCTAAGTCGAAAAAGGGGCATAATTCTGTCAAAATGCTTAATAGAGTTACCTCCTGCTGTCTACAGGTTGGGGTAATGATGTTGAACAAGTGTGCAAAGTTTCAAAGCCATATGTCAATGGACTTTGAAAATATTTGAACTATTACAAAAACTTTAACGTAAATTCTAAGTCGAAAAAGGGGCATAATTCTGTCAAAATGCTTGATAGAGTTACCTCCTCCTGTCTACAGGTTGGGGTCATGATGGTGAACAAGTGTGCAAAGTTTCAAAGCCATATGTCAATGGACTTTGAAAATATTTGAACTATTACAAAAACTTTAACGTAAATTCTAAGTCGAAAAAGGGGCATAATTCTGTCAAAATGCTTGATAGAGTTACCTCCTCCTGTCTACAGGTTGGGGTCATGATGGTGAACAAGTGTGCAAAGTTTCAAAGCCATATGTCAATGGACTTTGAAAATATTTGAACTATTACAAAAACTTTAACATAAGTGGTTACGCCGACGCTCGGGTGACTGCAATAGCTCTACTTATTCTTATCGAATAGTCGAGCTAAAAATGATATCATGTTAAATTGTTATTACATTAGTTTAATATTGTTTTATTTAAAAGCTTTATAACACTCCTGCACTGTGGTTTATGTGATTATTATCATAATATTATTTAGATTTAACACAGCTGAACATACTATTTTACACTTATTGTTTAACTTTAAACCATGCCTGTTGTGAAAAGAATTTTCAGTATCATCAACAAAAACATGAATTTTCAGTATCATTAACAAAAACATAAGTGGTGGCATGGACAAGTGGTTAAAGTGTCAGACTGGTAATCTAAGGATTGCTGGCTGTGTTGGTTCAACCCCTTCAGGGGCAAGCCGTTGTTTCGATGAGCATGAAACCTTACACTGATATCTTAGTACTGGTTGGCTCCAGGAACAGATTCTAGAGTGATTCAGTAAGCTTATAGCTTCCAACACAATCAAACTAAAATAAATTAGTATAAACTAATAACACATCTAAAGGGGCATCATTTGAAATCTTACAAATAATTATTACTGAGACTATTAACATAGCACAACAGTTAATTTGTACAGACAGCAGGTTAACCGTAACACAATGGAAGGGAAAATTTAAATGCCCCAGTCCCAAAATGTGACATAATAAGAATGAAATACATAGAAGCATTGTTTTACATGCATGATAAATTTTTATTTCACTAATGAACACCAGCTGGTAAATTTTCACTCCTAGCCTAGCCACTTGTGAAATTGGGAGTTCTTTTCACACAGTAATGTATATAATATTCAAATCACTTTTTCTTGAACAAGTTATCTCCAATTATACATGTACTTACCATGGTAATGTTATTTCCATTTAATAATATCTGGTCCAATTTTGTCACACGTCTTCCTTCTGGAGTACTTTCACTATAAAAAAAAGCAAATATGAGGATTATTTTTTAAGTTATGTCCCCAGCTTTATCCTCACTGTATTTTATATTGCTTCATTACACACAAATGAGGCGTTCAATAGCAATTTCAATTTTATTGTTTTATGTTTTGCATAAAAGTTGAATAACTCATATGGCCCTATGAAATTTCTATCATTGAAAGGAATTATTGCAAAATGTAAACTTAATTTTACTTTCATCTGTTCAAACTCGCTATAAGGTATAATGTCACTTTTAGGTTAAAGATATAGAGATACAGAGGTGATCTCTGTAGTGCAATTTATCAGTGTCTGCCCCAGATTCCAAAAGAAGAATATTGAAAAAAAAAAAAAAAATGCATTTCGGTAGAGCAGGAATACTTTGAAGGTTTGAAATAGGAAACAATTTTATATTTTAGAATCTAGTGACAGAAACTAATGAATGGTCCTCCTAACTAAAATCTTCTTACACAAAATACAGAATAAACATACATTAAAGCCAAGTTTTTAGCCAAGAAAAACTAAGATACACATGTAAGCATGAATTCTTCAATGCGATTTTTATAAAGGTACTGATGTACCGGCTGATCTTTACCTGCACTCGTCGTTGGTGTCAGTAAGCTAACGATTAAAAGATATTTTCAAGTGTAAGATATGTATCATGCCATCACGATAAAATGCAATATAGACATGTTCAAATTATTTGAAAGAAAGAATACAAGTTTATACTTACAATTCAATTACATCTTCTAATACCATATCTGAGCAAATGTTAAGGAGAATTAGCTGTTTTTTCCTATACAACTTAGAAACTTTAAGAAAGGTTAAAAACATTTCTCCTGTGAGAATTATTCTACATTACATTATGTTCAGAATATAAAATAACCAACAGGAAATATTTTCTTTGCAATGCAGACAGTGCCATTTTAACACTCAATTAAAATTAGCAAGTAGACTTGTGTATTTCAATATTTTTAAAATTTCAAATTTAAAAACTAAAATCAAACAAGCAATTATCATAGTATTGCAAGCAATCCATAAGTCCCCTACCGGTTAGAACCCCAGCCTGATGGGCCATTGGCCATTCAATTTTACCAGTGAATGAATGACATGAATGAACTTAAATCTTTTGAGTTCAAAGTTTGTCTATATCACAGTAATGTGTTAAGTTTCCCTGTCTAGTAAGGAAATTATGTTTATACAACCTTGTCATATGATTTTAAAGTAAATCCTATAAGGAATGAAGAGGTTGGAGTGAAAATTACCAATTTCTCGAAAAAAAACAAAGTTCAAGGGGGAGATAATTCTGGAAATAGTCTTACTAGAGTATTTAACCTTCTCAAAAATGTTGAGTGATAATAAGAAACATATATATGAAGTTTGAAGTAGATACATTAGGAAATAAAGAAGTTATTTAAAAAAGACAACATTTTATTTCATTAAAATTTTAAGTTCAAGGGAGGTAATACTGATAATTTTTGTGCTAGAGTTGTAAACCTTGTCACATATGATGTGGTTGATGACTAGAAACTTATATTTAAAGTTTGAAGTAAACACCTTAAGAAATAAAGAACTTATAGAGAAAAAGCTGAAAAATTTAAATCAGAAATCTTGAAATTCAGGCTATTTGTTGCCATAGCAACCAGAACTTTCAACATAGGAAGAAAAGAAAAAATGTGCATAATTTCAAGACTGCCATCTACCCATATTGCAAGTTTCATAAAAATATTTTCAGTTCTTTTTGAGTTATCACTGGATCCAGTTTATGTGTTAAATTTGCCATATTTTCAGACTATTTGTTGCCATAGCAACCAAAATTTTCAACATAGGAAGAAAAAAAAAAGACGTGCATAATCTCCATACTGCCATCTATCCATATATCAAGTTTCATAAAAATATTTTCAGTACTTTTTGCGTTATCGCGGGATCCAGTTTTGTGGACGGACGGACTGACAGACGGACGGACTGACAGACAGACGGACGGAGGGTAAACCTAAAGTCCCCTCCGGTTAAACCGGTAGGGGACTAAAAATTTATTTATAAAATTACCACACTTTACTTTAGCTAATAGATCAATGGTGATGGCTATAGTGCAGGACAAACCTATACCAGTAAACTGATCAAATTTGATATTCAAATCATTCATTCAAACAAAGTTATCACAAGGCAAATCTCTGAACAAGAATTCAATATGTGGTGGGGTAAAATATACACACCAACACTGGTAAAAGAGAGAAGCTGACTTTCTAGCTTAACTAACAAAGGATACTGACATAGTCATCAAATCCCAGAAGTACTCCTACAATTTCTTTATCATTCTTCATAACTATATGAATTCTTGATCCTATACACTTGTCAACCAACTCTGAAATTGTAATTGTATATAATATTATTATAGTGGTATAGAAATAGGGCTGTCATTGATGGACAATTTTGTATCGATATATCGAGAGACAAATATTGACGATATATCGATATATTGACTTTAACAGAAGAAACATTTAAATGTGTGTTTTAAATTGGGATCATAGTGATATGTATGCTTGTATTACACATTAGATATACTACAAATTAACAGAAAGTGATTTTTTCTGTTATTTTTGTCACTGATATTTGAAAACAGTTTTAAGTTGAAGTTAGCCTAGAAAACTGAAAAAAAGCAACTTCTCTTATTAGGCAAAATTGAGAGGTATATAAACATATACTAACATAAAGATTTTTTTTTTTAGCTTGTATCGATATTTGAAAGTGTGTATTGATATTTTATCGGATGATGAATATCGATGATATATCAATATCGCGATATTCAATGACAGCCCTAAATAGAAATGTGACAGAAAAAGAAATATATATTAGAAATTTTAATTAAAACTTATTCTCTTTAAATTGGGCTGCTAAAATTTGTTAGAGGACCATTTTATGAAGGATTGAGAAAACTAAAACTCTATTTAGAATAAAATTTCCTTTAGATTTGGAACATAGTTAGACACAAGCAACTGCAGATTTATGGCTGTGTTATGTTTACATCCAATTTAGGCACACATTTTGTGTTATTGATCAATGTTCCCAGAGGTGGCCCAAATTTTGACACTAAAGGCAAAATTTAAACAGTTTTGGTGGAGGACCTATAGATTCAAATGTTAATTTCTTGTCTTAATAACTTATATTCATCATCAGTGTTAAGGAAAGTAAAAATCTTTACGCCAAGAACAGGTTTATCATTTGCCTGTATTGGTAATTCTGACAAAAACCAAGCGGTCAGGTCTCTGTTGACTTACACTTGGAAAAAAGCAAATTTCCCTATTCATGACTGATAAATTCCAAAATTACACTGAAAATTTCCTCAAAAATCCAAAAATCGGCAACTTTAAAGGTAAACAAAAACAATAATGCCATTGATATGTGATATACGATAAAAACCAAGTACATGTATAATCACATGAGTGGTATTCGTACCCAGTTCATTTCGTACTTTTAGTGTTTCACACCTAAACATTATTTATGCACAATTGTATTGATTATCATTTATTTTTTCAACCTCAACTAGCAAAAATAATCATTAAAGTTAATAATGCATGGTTTTAAAGTGTATATTATGCATAATTTTCATGTCTCCCTGGATTAAAAAAATTCCCAATGAATGTTTTGCATCTTAGTTATGTACAATTCCCAATTTGAGTCAAACTGATCGATTTTTTTCTCCAATCGGTCCAGTACCCGCACCATTCCCAAAGCAGGGGAAAAAAACACTGACGCATAAAATGTTCAGTGCACATGTAAACCAGCACTTCGTTAATATTAAATTATATGCAGGTATTTTGTACCGCAAACAGAAACAAATAAATTGGTGGTGTTCAACCTATCATCGGAGTGCTAGGAATATTTCAGAAAATCTCCAAACGTAAAAAGGGACCACTGCGCATGAGTCGGTGTTTGGAAAATCCCGTCCGCCTTTTTTGTTAAACTCTTATCACAGTTTTTGTTTTTACGTTTTTTAATGCGCTATTTTATCAAAAAGGATATATAAAAGTAACTTTTATATTTATCACCTTTACTATAGTTCTTATCAATGGAATGCATGTTTATTTTCTGATTTTGTACATTCTTACACCGGAATTGTTATTTGGCAAAATTTTGGAAACAAAGTGATCCCTCGTAAGCATTATTTATCACAACAAAATTACAAGAGAAATGAGCTCTGATATCTATATTTAGCTTAAAATGATTTCAAAATGGCGGCGCCCAGTTAACTTAGGATATTTCTCCATTTCTTTAAATATAAATTTTCTATTGATTTTATTGTGATTTCAATTTAATTTATCATGTCATACATGTTATCTAAGAGTGCCTCAGCACTTGCAGGGCTAGTCCAATATATTAGACGTTACAGGCTAGTTATAGTTTTATGTTGGTCAAGCCTGACGTCTGATAGTTATTGCTCATAAAGTAAAACACGTAGCATTTTGAAAAATTAAAAAAATTATTGTTGACTTGCCTTTCAAGCTTTTTTCAAAAGCTTATCTTCTGTCCTTTCAATTGCATGGTCTATCATTAACAAAAACTCTCAAACAATGTAATTATCAATTAAAAATAAACTATAAATATCAATCTATTTTGCCTATCGGCCATACTGGTTAAGTAAAGCGTTTTACAGATTGATTCCAATTTTTTGAACGGAAAAATATATTCGAACACACTGACGATGCATGGGCAATTATTTCGTTGAAAATATATTCCGTTAGAAACTTCTGGACTCATTTAAACGCTTGCATTTGAATTAGCCAATCAGATTTCACGCACTGTATGGCGGCCATTTGTATATCGGCTGTACAAGGAATTAAATTAAATGAGAGGATTTAATCATGACTTCGGATGTGACAGTTTAATTATTTTGTTAAAACGTATTTATTTTTTAGTTTTGTTCATAAATAGGTCAAAATTAATGTAAATACACGCTGTCTTAATTGTTTAAATGCATTAGATGTAAATCGATGTCTAATGTCAATTTTTTTGCTACATGATTTGGCAAAGATCTGTTAAGACCTAACGTAACATGGAAAATGAAAAATGTAAAATATCAGATTAATGAATGATAAACATGAAATAGGTTACGTATAGGCAGTGATTTTCCTACTTATATAACAGACTCCGAAAAAAGGCCTCTTCCCAATTGAAATTTTCTTTAAAATCATGCAGTTTTCCCAAAAATCTGAACTTAAACCAGCTTTTTTACTTCCCAAATCAGCAATTTTAGCGATAATTTTTCCCAAAATCAAGAGGCTTAGGCCTCTTCCCAATTAAGTGAGAAAAATCACTGATAGGTCTTATAATTAGGACTATCGCAGGGCCTGAACCACTGCTCGGTCTTTCCGCATAATATACAAATTTCAACTTAATATTAATTTAAAAAGTATCAACCATTCCACGACGTCGACACTGGTACAATGACGTAGATACTAGAAAGTCATGTTCGATATCTAAAAAAGTGAAATCAGCACATGCTATATCAGTTTATGAGCGTCTACATGACACAGAATATTTTTATTTAAAATTATTTCAATTTGCTCATCAAATCAGTATAAACTCCCTTCAAATGTGCAAATAATGAAAAAAATTACTTTTTGTTTCAATGATTTAACATAGATATAATGCATTGAATAACAATAACAAATGTAAAAACAATATACCGAGTGGAAGAAGTTGAGATGGGTTTGTGAAAGTCGCCATTTTCCGGTGGGGGGTTTCTAAGCGGTGTTACTGTTTCTCTATGACAATGGCCATAAGAATGAACACCACTAAATTTATTTCGCAAATCATTTTTACCCTTTTTTCGTTTTGTTTGATTTGTTTTGCAAAGATGGATCTGTATCCACTTTCCACTTCCTCTTTACAGAAAAAAAGAGAAGAACAATGTTCCCCTGTGTGTTATACCAGTGCCACGTATGTCAGCCAAAATAAATTAGCCGACATTTCAATATTTTGATGTATTAGAGGGTATGAAGGCTTGAAAGGCATGCCATTTCAATGGCATAATAGCCTTTTGACGGGGTTACTTCCTGTCTCAGCCGGGTTTCTGTACATTTAGGTTCTCATTGGTCGCCGTACAGTGACCTACTTCATATATCAACTATTTGGTCTCTGTACAGTACACTAACAAAGTTGAGATGATCCAGAGACGTGCAATACGATGGGTAAAAAGGGATTACTTCCCTCTCTCTCTAGGAAGAACTGGATTGGCGATCCATTGAACACCGCAGATTGGACTGTAAACTGATAGTGTTTTATAGATATAATTATCATCACCTAGTTGCAATTAATCTCCCACCAAACACTGCCATATGCCAAAGCCCCGCATAGGTTAACCAGACATGTGCACCCCTGGCCTATCCCTACGCCAAATACATGTTTCCTCCGACTACCATAAGTACTCTTTCTCCCCTCATAGCATTACACTATGAAATAAACTCTCTAACTATATTGCCACTATGCCCAACTTAAGTCAGTTCAAACAGGCAATGGTGCATAGGTTTGCAGTACAAGTCTTGCTCCCAGTGTTTTTAACTATTTTATCTTTCACTATTAATTTATATACGGTCATGCCCTTAAAGGGTTAATTTTGAAGCACAAAGTCCATGCATTTCCTACAGAGCATAAGCCAAAAATGTGAATTTTGAGCCAAAAGTATCTATCTTTCTATCGCGAATGTTATAGGCAGTAAGAAAGAAAAGCAAAATAGTCCAAGCATTATAAACATGCTAGGAAGGTGAGACTGGAAATGTATTCTAGTTGTGGTTAAAATATATAAATTGAATTAAATTTTAGCATTAACATAATATATATATATCCTAGCATGTTTATAATGCTTGGACTATTTTGCTTTTCTTTCTATACTGCCTATAACATTCGCGATAGAAAGATAAATACTTTTGGCTCAAAATTCACATTTTGGCTTATGCTCTGTAGGAAATGCATGGACTTTGTGCTTCAAAATTAACCCTTTAAGGGCATGACCGGTGACCGGCCTTCATCATTATATTTCTGCCCATTTGAACTTGATTTCAACACTTTAAATACTGCTAATTACTATATGCCCTTAATTAACTTGATATGTCAGGTGTTTGCGTGTCATGAGTTCCGTTAAGTTTCATTCATATTGCAAGGTTTGATTTTAACGATACATGTACTTACATTTCTATCATGTGATCGAAAACATGATACGATTTGAATCAGCAATACATGATAAAGTGATCGGAAGTAAAATCACAATAACCCGTATACATTGAATTGAATTAGTTTGCAGTATATAAAACGGTGATTCCTTTATAAAGGTTTTAAAATTACTTTAATCGGTTTGGGCCGGTATGAACAGTAGCTCTTGTACAACCTGGCCACACCAGTAGACACCAGAATGTTCATGTATATGGTACAGATCACGTATAATATAATGTCTTTCTGTTATAGGTTCATGTGTTAGCTGTAAAAAATTTTGCTGTTAAATAATACATGTTGATTAGATAAAATGTTATGTACGTGTAGATGGACAGGCTAACCTAAGTATATCAATGTTTTTAATCAAACATTTTCTGGTTTAAGAAATTATTCAAATACAGTTTTTATTTGACCGACAGGACCAGAACACATTTATTAATTTGAAACATACCATTTATTTCAAAATAACTGTGACCAATATTAACTTACTAATCCGGTATATTGCTGTAATAGTATTATTTTTTCAGTTATATTGATTTGATAGAGCACACTTTATTTCTTTATCATGCAACTGCTATGGTAACTGCCCGATAACACTTGCCTGATAATTATTTTTGATATCACGTCAGTAGCCTGATATCAAAAATTAGCCCCGCCCATTTTAACGGACTTTTTTCAATTGCTTATATTCGAGCATAAATTTTCATCAGCATGTGAATTCTACAATGTAATCTCATACCCTTACAAGTCTTGAATCAATATGCGAAATTTGTTTATTTATTTATTATTTGGATTTCAATTACGAATAAATTAGATAGCGAATAGTTTTAGCACCAACTAAATGAAGTGACGTCATAATTTATATTGCAAATGACATCATCGATGTTCACGTCATACTATACATGTAATCATAACAAACAGGCTGGCGATTTTCTTTGAGAACTTGTAAATGTTTACTTTATTTCGCCGGATTATAATTTAATAAGTGAACAAATTGTTTCGTTTAAAAAATAAGACGCATGTTTGTGTAGCTTGTGTTTGATTGCCGATTTGACTTTTCTTTGAGAACTTTTGAATTTGACAATTCAAGACAAAAATTGCAGTAAAGTTTAGTTTATGTGATTCTAAGCGGATTTTTGGATCGATGTTTAAATTAAAGGTAAGAATGTTATCGTATTAGGCCTACATTCTGTTGTATCTTTTATCCGAGTCGAAAGAAAAAATGGCCGCCAATTACAAATTCTAAATGTCAGGAGCGGAGGAATTTGTTTTCAAGAATTATTTCTTTGAACAAAAATTCCCCTTTTTAACGAAATTCGCTATTTAAAAGTAGATTATTTTGTTATTTTGACAGTTATTATGTGTTACATGATAAATAGAAAAACATGCTACTGTCTTTTGATATCAATTTTATCAGGCGAGGCTGATATGGGCAGAAAGGGCGAGGCTTGTAGCATGTTATTCTCTATATATAGATTTTGATTATTCTTTCTATACATTTGAGTGTTCATGCAAAAATGTAGTGACAAAATGATAACGTCACCGGATTACGTTTTTTTTTTTTTTAAAAAAAACCCAAAGATTTCCATGATAACCATTCCAGGAAATATGCACAGAAGAGCATAAATTAAGCATAATTTAATCAATAAACACAATTTAAGGCAGAAATCATCAAATTTTATTGTCTTATTATAAAATAAACTACACTATGATATTGTTTCCTAAAAAACCCAACAAACAACAACTGGTTTTTATATTATTTAACTCCAGAAAAGTAGATCAAACAGACACAAACCCTGAAAATAAATTAAAATACATGAAATTCTACAGTCATTCTTTCTATACACCATCATCTAATTGTTCCTGTCCAAATTTAGTGACAAAATGATAAGATCATCGGATTACTTATTGTCAAAACATCGATGGTTTTCATGATAACCAATAGAGGAAATATCAACAAAACAGCAAAAATTATCCAAAATTAAGCATAGCATAAATTTAGGCAATATTATTTCATTTCTTTTTAACTAAATGTCAATTAAGGTATATTAAATACGATTATTTTCTTCACAAAACGCAGGTATTTCATTAAACAGAATAAAATCTTGAGCTTTTCGCTCCTCGTCTATGTAAATACAATACATATAAAAACAAAACAATGTCAAATCAATGATAGTATGTATATACAAAGAGATTAATTAAATTGTGGATAATAATTTGTGTAACAAAAGCTGATGACTCATAAGAACGAGTTTTTAAAATTCAAGGGGTTAGTGCAATATGGTACCTAACGTTATTTAACATTATCTTCAGAAAAAGGGCATTTTATGAAATTTTAGTTTTTTATTGAAATATTTTAGAATTAATTCACTAATAAGAAATGTTATTAATAAAAAACATTTGAAACCAAAGTTGTATGTTTGACACAATTTTTAACCATTTTATTTGAAAAATAGGTATATTTATTAAATGATTAATATTTAGCTTAAAAAGCTTAAGGAAACAAATCATCAATTGTATAGTTTGTATTTGTTACGCATTCTTTTGTTGGTAAATTGATGAATATTTGATTGATTAATTAATTGATAAATTGACAAAAACAAATGTGTTTTAAACATATTTTCTTCATAGAAAGAAACAAAACTTTAACATTCAAGCCAGTTCAATTATAAAGGCACCTACCTTACGAATTCAATAATTCAGAATATATATTTTATGTGCGAACTGCAAATACGGATAACTTCAAAAACATTGCATTAAGGAACTGTAGTAAACATATTTTCATTAGACGACTGCATTAAAATAACCAAAGTTACAAAAATTATAAAATACATCAGCTTTAGCTGTATAGTTTCAATATCCCAGACTATGGTATCGAAAAATCAAACAAAATATAATAGGTACCAGATCATGCCTTTGTCGCTAAAATGTAAAATATTTATACAATTAACAATAACTACATAAAGCATCCCGAATGCTCAACTTTAAACATTTACTCTGAAACTAAACATTTTATGGTGATATGCATGTATAGAAAATCTCTAAACAATATCTTTAAGACTTAAATGTTTTCATGCAAAATTTTAAAAAAGATAAATATAGTATATGTGCAACAAAGGTTCTATTTCCATGAACACAAAATTCACATAATAATATTTATAATAATTTTCACACAAATGAACATTTCTGCAAATAATTTTGACAAGACATGGAAAAAACATTGTTGTTGTAAATTTTCATGCACATATTGACATAAAATCAAAATATTATTAATTTTTCATATAATTTTTTTCACCTCAAAACAAGAAAACATGGATAGAATTAATGTAACAAAGGTACCAACTCCAACTCTGGAATAAGGACCTTTGTTAAGTTCCTCCAAGAACGATTTTCACCTTAAAACAAAGAAGTGAGTAACAAAGGGAGGTTATTCTAATTCCAAAATACGTTCTTTAAATCACAAAGGTCCTAACTCAATTTTACCCTAAATTGGAGTTAGGTACATACTTGCACTGACCCCTTCAATTACTATTACACTGACATCTACATTTCTGTTTATAACGTTATATTTAAGTTTTTACAATATGTCTCTGATGAAGATATATCAATAATTATTAAACAAACCATAGCAGTTCGTTTGATCTGATTTTTAAAAGTACACGTTTTCTGACACATACTTGGGACACATAATATTACAAAAAAAACTCATCTGCAGAAGAATTACATATTTCATCACATTAAACAGAAAATTATAGAACATACACTATTCCTACAAACACGTCACATTTTGTAGTATGAATAAAATTCTGCAGATTTTGACAGATAAAATTACACTTATACATGTATATAAAGAATCCTAAACTCTAAACTCAGGTATGTTCTCATTGTTCTTTTTTGAAACTATTCTAATCAAAACAATTCATAAAATTTCATTTGCATTCCTTTTCTTTTACTAGACAATGCAAATGATCAAACACTGCTGATTTTTTATAATTACTTACTGTATATAAACACATAATCATATACACAGTTTGAAAAACTAATGGTTAGTTTTCGCTCACCTGAATATATAAAACTCTCCATGACAAGGAACAAGTAATATTGTAATCTATTAACAAAAGCAGATATAAAATCTTAATCTAAAACTCACAAAGTTCATATTTGTATAAATCTGAACTAGTGCATTTGCAAAACATTACAGGTTGCTATTGCTAACACGTGTAAGGGAAAACAAAAGGTTCTAAAAGATATGTATACTGGTGCCTAATATTTCCGTGGTACCCATATTTCCAAGGTATTAGGCATAAACATCCTCAAGTGCCTCCTAGACATCATGCAACTGCCAGTAGGTTTACTTTTACCTTTTATTGTATTTTTATCAAAATTTTACATATACGACAAGAGACAAGAGAACACTTATTATTTTATTTAAAAGTAAATTATTTCACCATTTTAATTTTACTTTTAATACATTTGAAGGCAATTGACTTTGAGATATTTGATAAATGTTTTGGAGAAAACCCCCACTTTTAGACGAGGCTAGGTATAGATATACTAAACAAGAGGGCCATGATGACCCTGAAATCGCTCACCTGTATATAGGCCCCTGGGCCAATGCCAATTTCAAACCAGGGGCTTTTATTTGAACAAACTTGGTAGATAACCATTAGAAGATGTTTCATGATAAAAATCTAAGCTCGAACTCTTTGGGGTTTTTATAAGAAGATTTTTTTATGTTTTTACTATATACATAAAGGAAAATCAAAGACCCTCCAGGGCAGGGCCAATTTTGACCCAAGGGCAATTATTTGAACAAACTTTGTAGATACTGACTAAGTGATGTTTCATGCCAAACATTAAAGCTCTAGCTTTTGCGATTTTCTAAAAGAAGATATTTTAAGTTTTTTCTTTTGGTTGCCATGGCAACCAGAGTTTTGCTTGGAATTAAATTCTTTGAACAATTTTTAAAATTGACTACCAAAGGAACATTCCTGTGAAGTTTGAATGAAATTGGCTAAGTGGTTAATGAGGAGATGTCGTTTAAAGTAAAAGTTTACGGACGGACGGACGCCCAACGAAAAGCGATTACAAAAGCTCACCATGTCACTTTGTGATAGGTGAGCTAAAAAATAAAGATTACTATTGTTTTTCCTTTTGAAACACTTAAAATGTAGTTGCCTTGGAAATATGAGAACACAACTTTACTAACTATGCAGCAGATGGGTGTTAATTGCCATGTTGTGTACATTATTGCGTACATGCAAACATTAAATGTAATTAACTATGATGTAATTGGCATGTCTTTCCTACAATATTCAACATATTTTCCAGAATTTTATTCTTCTAACTTTTATTGTCTGTGTATACAGTTAAGTACCACGGAAATATGAGGCACCAGTGTACATATAAGAAATATCAATGACCCCCTGGGGCGGGTCCAATTTTAACCCCAGGGATTTTATTGAACAAACTTGGTAGTCACCCATAAAAAGATTGTTCATGCTTAATAGCTAAGCTCTAGCTCTTTGGATTTTTTTAAAAGAAGAATTTTAAGTTTTTACTATATACATATAAGGACAATTAGAGCTAGAGCTTACATATTTGGCACAAACAGTTTCAAGTGAGTGTCTACCAATTAACCTATTAACCTATAATATATATCCAAAGTAAGCTATACTCAAAAAGACACTGAAGGTACATATAATTATTTTGTATTGTGATAGTCAACATATATATGTTTCATTAAGTCACTATACACTAGGAGACACATTTTCATCGACAAAATGAAATTAGATTAATTCAATTTATAGATATAAATCAACATAACTGTTACAAGCTTCTCACATCTCAACAGCGACAGACTAAAATAAATACGACACATTTAATTTATGACTGTTTAAATACTTCTTGTTTATATTAGTCAGATAGCTGATACACTAAATATTACGTATTGGCTGAGAAAAAATCACTCACATTGAATTACACTATGTATATTTACATAATGATAATTGTGAGATAACATTACAGGATGCTATTGCTAAAGGAAAACAAAAGGTTCTAATAAGAAAAATCAAAGACCACTGGGGCGGGTCCAATTTTTAACCCCAGGGATTTTATTGAACAAACTTGGTAGAACTCCCATAAGATTGTTCATGCTTAATATCTAAGCTCTAGCTCTTTGGATTTTTTAAAAGAAGAATGTTTAAGTTTTTACTATATACATATAAGGAAAATTAGAGCTAGAGCTTAGATATTTGGCACAAACATTTTCTAGTGAGTGTCTACCAATTAACCTATTAACCTATAATATATATCCAAAGTAAGTTATACTCAAAAAGACACTGAAGGTACATATAATTATTTTGTATTGTGATAGTCAACATATATATGTTTCATTAAGTCACTATACACTAGGAGACACATGCTCATCGACAAAATGAAATTAGATTAATTCAATTTATAGATATAAATCAACATAACTGTTACATTCTTCTCACATCTCAAAAACGACAGACTAAAATAAAGAAACGACACATTTCACTTATGACTATTACTTCTTGTTTATATTAGTCAGATAGTTTATGCGCTAAAATTAGTTATTGGCAGAGAAAAAATCACTCACATTGTATTATACTATGAATATTCACATAATGATAATTGTGAGATTCAAGACTTTGTGGAACAAGAACAGGAACATGTAAATAGTAAAGCTTTGGAACAGTTAAAGACAAACATTCCTTAAATGGTTATAAAATGAACAAAATGAATATTAAATATTTTATTGTATTATTTGCACAGGTAAAACATTCGTTTTTTAGAAAGATTTGATTGGTTTAAGTACAAGCTCTTATCACTGAATAATCTGTAAATAAAAAATATCATTTTCTTAATATGACATGTTTAAAATGTGTCAATTAATACAGACTGCTTTCTGTTAAAGACCATGACATAAGCCCTAATTTAAATCACAAGTATATTATGTGTAAAAAATGATGTGTGTTTGCAGCAGCATTGTGCATACATAATGCTTAGAATTTAAATGAAAAAAAAAACAAAAAACATTACCATATTAAAAAAATACACATTTATAAACTAAGAATTGTTTGTATACTAATAATTGAAACAGCTTTTTATGCCCTGATTTTACCAATATAAATGATTAAGACAATTCTAAAATTGTAATGACAACAAATACAGTTAAAATATCAACCATAGCAAAATTAGAATTATTCTCATTTAGTTTTGTCTAAATATAAAAAAAACATATATTATTATCACATAAACAATAGAATACTTAAGTTATCGAGCTGTTAAAAGTTTTGTATTGTTCACAATGTTCAAAGCTGATGCTTGTACATTTTTAATAGTTTACTTTTTGTTGTTTACCTTTGGCCTTAATGTCATGTTTAAAGCATATGGCTAGTAAACAATCACTTTTATTACTATTAATTGTAATGACATCATCATTTGGCACTACAGTTAAAAATAGACAATATGTATATTTACAAAATAAGATACGGATAGTGCATCTAAGTATGTGAAATATTTTAAACAAATATGCTAAATACTTTGTAATAGTAATTAAGACCTTTCTGGAACGAGTTTATATTGCCCGATATTTTTTTGTAAAAATCTATACTTCGCACAAATCATTCGCATACTGGCTAAATATTTGTCAATTTGCCTAATTACATAATTAGACTTAAGTTTATAATAGTAAACTTCTTGTTTGCCAAAATGAAGATAAAATAACAGAAAAATGCAAGCGTAATAAACTTGAAATAAAAGGACGATTTCGCTGAAGTCCCTTAAATTTCTGTGCCCTTTTACATCTTAAAACCCGTCAAATTAATGTGGTATTCAAGTCTATGACCCTTCAGATTCTTTCAGTCCTTCGGAGTCTCAGTGATGCTTCTTTTTTTGTTCTCTTGATGACTGCCGAGTGGTGTTAACATTTTCATTTCGTGAACTGTTTCAACTTCAGAAAGGGACCTGCTTTTTAATGTTGCTATCACAATATACTAGTATATATCCTGAAAGATCCGCTTCTATGATTCACGTCAGTCATTATTTAACTCAAATACATATTAATACAATTTCAAGTAGATTACCCAAATGTCCAGATCTAGTCAAATCACCAATCTCACCATTGTCGTTCCTTTAAGATTCCATTCACTGCTATTCACTGTTTTAATACTGCTGCAATGTCAATTTTATCATTGAACAAGAGATCAAAATATTTCAGATTTCAGAGACATTTCATCAATTTTCAACGTTATAATACCACGATATGATTTTTAAGTCTTAACAGAGAAAGCTACAAGTATATACGCTTCCCAAAACTATAAAGTGATCTGGATAAGTCATTCAATAAAAGACTTGAATTTATTTGATGGTGACTGATATAATTTCTGTTGCTGTGTAAACAAGATACCTGTTTCATTTCATGTTACAGGTGGTAGACACCATCAATCACATTTTTGACTACATCTTTGTCTACAGATTCATGCGGTAGTTTGTTTATTGCTGTAACCAATTCATTTAATGTAGCCGCCTCCATTTTGTCCTGATCCCACCTCCGTAACATCTGCAGTATCATCATAGCTGTTGAATCATTGTCCGACCTGATGTGTTGAAGAGCAATACAATTTACTCCTAGATAATTCCCAAGCAATTCCCATTCTGAACCGATTGCGTGTGTCAATTCAACTAGTTCTCTGTCAGATAATCTACGGTCTGGTATCTTTTTATCAATCATCTCATACTTAAACCATTCATGAAATATTTTGTCAATGTCAATATTCTCATGCACAATGTTATCTGGACAGCACACTGTTTTTTCTTTACACTCTTTCAATATTTCAAGTCCATACGTTTCTTTACTTCCCTCATGTTTGTGCAAACTGTGTTGACATCTGAACGAAATTGTATATGGTATAATTTCTTTGCTGTCTTCAATATTCTGCAGCTTTTTGAATTCAACATTGAAAACGTTTTCTGCAAATCGTCGTAAGAAATCTGGCATTTCAGCAGATATTTTACCACCTTCGCACATGTGTACAATGAGCAGCTCTATGGTATTTCTAAGACGAACAAAAGTCCCCGCATAGCTCAAATTTATCCTAAATATGCTTGCATTTTCAAATAGAAATCTTCTACTCTGAAATTCTACAACCGGCCATGTTCCAACTGCTGCTCCTGTAAGTCTTTGATAAACTGTGGAAACAACTGCTTCGTTGTCAAAAGTGTACACAAGGGAGACTGAAGTATGGTTTCGGTTTTCGAGAAATTGTCTTATTTCACCATTGTCGGGTTCTTTCAGGAAGCTTGGTACTATGTAGTAATCTAGAGAGAGAAATTTTCCAGATTCTTCATCAAACTTCAGCGCTTCAGATATGATCCTATGCTTCTTCAAAAATGCAACGAGGACATCTTCGTATTTTATGAATTGACTGCTTTTGTCATTGCTCCAAACTTGCAACAAAAGTGCTTGTTGTAATATAGCACGTGACTCCAATTCATTCCATAAGGGTCTCAAAGATATATCTTTTGTACAAAATTTTCTGGATGTGATGATGCACTTGAAGGCATTCACAAGAAAACTTGGGTTAACAACGACGTAATCTGCTAGTACACCTTCGTCAAAGTAAATGAATGTTCCATTCGCATGATGGAATTTCAGAAATGACTTCAGTTGTTCTTCGGAGGGGATTGGATGTTCTAAATCTTTTTTGTTTATTTGAACTATATCTTGATACTTCAAAATGTTCTCTTCTTGTCTTTTCCTAAGCTCAAATTCCAAAGGAATCCAACGGGCTGGTAACAATTGTTTATCTTCCATTCCTATCTGTAAAATAGTCCTTTTGATACGAAAAATCTCTCGATGATTCGGATCAGTTCCTGAAATAGCAAAAGTTTCACGATAAATATGAGACCCCATTTTGCGTCCATCAAAAAGTTTCCTGACATCTTCAAAGTATCTATCGGCTTTGTTGTAATCCCCAAGTTTGTCCATGTGTGTTCCTACCAAAATAATCTTTGGTTTAGAACCATCTTTTGTTCCGACATACGAATGAACAGATGAAACCCAAAACTCAATGTAATTTTTCATTGATCTCATATGACTTGTCCCGCCAGGATAGTCTTCGTCTATTACTGGTGTATGCAACCCTCTTGTTAGATCAAACACAAGTAAGTAGATAGCATGCCTACTGTGAAATAGCTGATGAGTAGCGTAGAATATATATTGACCTCCAAAATCCCATAATGATAACTTATATTGATCTGCGTCCTTTGATTTTCCTCTTTTCTGTTTCATCTTCTTAAAGTCGTCAAAAAATGTGTCTTTGTCTCTCATTTGAGTATTCTTTGATTCAACTGTCAAGTAATTATGTGTACATTTGCCTTCCTCATCAGTACTATCAATATGACATATAGGTTGCTCGTAACGGGTAGTTTCTTTCTTACTTTCTGGAATTTGAATATTTAACAGTCTTTGCATTCTTTGATACTTTGCATCATTAGCATGAGGACTTTCTTTCCATTTGTTTTCATGTTCTGAGCATGAAACATCATAGATGTCAATGCCGTTGGTACTTTCTATGATTCCAATACTCTTAGATAATAATCTTCTTGCCAAAGTAGTTTTTCCTTGACCGTAACATCCTATAATCATAACACGGATTGTCTTATCTACTTCTTCTCCTTCTTTTATAGCAATATCATATTGCATTCGTGTTGTTATGTCAAAATTATCTAGAAATGAAACATTTAAATATAAAAAGGGACTTATTCTAACTTGGCAGACACGTAAGTAAAAAATAGAAATTCAGTGGTACAATGTCGTTTAAAAACGGGTGGGAACATTTGAACTAAATGAGTTCTTTGATATTCTCTTTTCATCCTAACACAGCGAGATATATTAGTAAAATAGAAAATTAGAATACTATTGTAGTTTACGAATCTTTTGTCAGATTACACAAATATGTTGTTTTCCATTTTAAGGAACAAACAATTTACACCTACGACTTTTCAGGTCTAACAAATTTACATATCGAAATGTCAAATCTCTAAAAATGAAAACATAAACAAAACCACTTTAAACTTTATCAGTAACATTTTATCATAGCATGAACATGCTAGAAAATATCCTGAATGGCTGGCTGAGTACCGATGTGTTTAAATTAAACATTTTTATATTTGAATGTTGAGTTTTGTAATCCTGTATGTTGTAAGTATGGTAGACCATGGGTAATGGACACTATAAGGAACTGTAAAAAAATTTACAACATAGGACTGTTATGTGTCTTAAAAATCACCTGTATGCAAAATTTAAATAAAATTTACCGTGTGGTTTATGAGTTATTGATATATTTCTGAACTAAAACTTTGCTGTTAGAAGGGCCTTTTTCAGAAATGAGAAAACTCTAAATAATCTATAATATCATCATTATGAAAAATGTTTTCATATTGCTCATTGTTAAGAAACAAATAATAAAATTCAGGTAAGAATTACACGAGCAAAATGAGTGTTTCTAAAGGAAATGTTTCTCATATGTATAAAATTGTTTCCCTACCTCACCCAATTTAAACACTCATTTGACCATTTCACTATATAACTAGCAATGTGTCCATATGACACGGGTGCCCTTACACTCCACCGATTTGTCAATCTTATGTCTCTAGGTCAAATATTTTTTGGCTACATCTGCCCAAGTTGAAAACTAAAAATCTTGTATTAAGTAAAGGACAAATACTACAAATACTAAATAAATCCACAAGAGAACCCCGAGATGCATAAGTTCACATACTAAGCAATGTTCTTGGAAACTTTCTGGCCGACAGGTCATAAACTTTTTGAGTTTCGTGCAACACAAGTTAAATATTGTAAATTTTTACTAAGTCAAGGGCAATAACTCTAAAAATACTAAAAATATCCATACGAAAATACACAGGTGCACAACTACACATGCTGAGCAACATTCCTGTAAGGTTTCATGACTCTAGGTCAAATACTTTTTTGAGTTACGTGTGACACAAGTTGAAAATTGGAAATTTTTATTAAGTCAAGGGCAATAACTCCCAAAAAATGAACGGACGGACGGACGGAAGGACGGATGGACGGACGGACGGTTGACAAGGGTGAATCTAAATGCCCCTCCCCCTATAGTCAATGGGGTTAAACCATGCGCGCGCATCCTCGAAATTCTGATACCGCGAACACTTTTTCAACCGGTATTTTGAACATAAACGAGTCATGTAGATTTGAATTTAATTTCTTTTGCAAAAAAGATGTCCTTACTTTTAGTTTTAATATTCCAAATATCTTGACACAAGTCTTCCCTTTCTTGTCAGTATTTCGCGTTGAATGCGATTTTGATTATGAATAGTGCGTACACCCGCCGTTGAAATGTTATAGAAATTGAAAAATTGTCGATAAAACTGACAGTTTCACACAGCTGGAAGTTAGTTTACTGTAGAACCTATTTCACAAATATATTTTCAATCTTTGTTATTTTTCCTTTGCACGAAAAATGTCTTAAAACGAACTTTTTTCAGGATATTGAAATTATGATACTGCGTACACTCTAAAAAAATTCAAGATACTGCGTACACATTTATATGTTATTGATTCTGCCTACACTTTTTTCGAAGCAGTCTAAGTTCATAACGGAATCAATTAATAACACTGGCAAAAAAAAAGATAATTAAAAGGAAAAATAAGATTCAAATCCTGTGATAAAGTATGCTCCCTTAAAATGTTTAAAATGTACATCATAAAAAAGGTCTGAGTTTAATACAAATTTACTCATTAATGTAACACTCTTAACTGATAAATATTTTCGTACACTGCATAACTATTTTTTTTATAATCAAATTTATAGCCTATACTTAAAGACTTTTTAGTCGGTTGATGCACATCAATTGAGAGTAACAAATATTGGAAACATTGTTTGTGTCTTTATATATTTTACAAGTGAAATACAGAGTATTTATAGTTAAATAAAAGCAACAGTGAAATAGTTTTCTTTTTTGACTGTTTTTGCACGCGCTGTTTTGGCGCTGCATTGTGATGTCATGTAAACAACACTTCAAACGTCTACAGGTACTGCGTTAATGACTGATTTAAAGATATTGGTGTCCGTATTTATTTTTTTTAAGTTAGACAACTTTCTATCATTCTAGATAATTTATTTTATTTATCACATACCCATTCACTTCAAAAGGTCTTAATTTTTGGTAAGTGATAAATATAAATTCATATAAGTTTAATATCAAATTTATTGAACTCGTTGAATAAGATAATAGATCTATAATGCTCGCCAGAGGCTCGCATAATATAATTTTGTTTTACTCGTTAAATAAATTCAATATTGAACGTACACTCATTCAATATCCTCTTTTTTATCACATACCCGTGTCGCTTTTGCGTCTTCGTACAGCCGTGCATATATTTTGACGTTACGTCATTTTATTAATATAAACGCGCTAAATGTTAGCGTTATACAATAGGCGCGTCAATGAAGAATATTTTTTTTTCACTTCAAACGGTCTTTATTTTTGGTATATGATAAGTAGGATATTAAAGTCGTGTAAGTTTAATACTAAATTTATTGAATTCGTTGGATAAAATAATATGCTCGCTAGAAACTCGTATAATATAATTTTATTCAACTCGTTTAATAAATTCAGTATTAAACTTACACCCATTCAATATACTCTGTTTATCACATACCCGTTTCGCTTTTGCGTCTCCGTAAAAATGGTATTGCACCGTTGTGTTTATGTTACGCATATAACGTCACGTCAAGATATATTCACGACCGTGCAATACCATTTTTACGGAGACGCAAAAATAGCATGGCTACGTGATGTATGAGTATATAAATGAATGAGTGCGTTAATATTAGAAACACTGAGGCGAGAACAAATTTAACCACTATCAATATAGTCCAACTATAGTTTTTCTTGATGTGTTAGAATGGAAACACATCGTTATTCTGTTTGCTCTGCGACGATATGTCGTTCAGATGCCCGTAGGCCTATGGCCTTTGTGATTATATTACTGCACATTTATTCCATACCGTGTTATATTATAGCACAGTTCACTCAAAATAAATACATATTTCCTTGTTTAACCACACTGAAATTAATTTTCTCACCCTACTTTATCATACGAGTTTTAACAACTTGTGTGCCTAAGAGCATTAAGAACGTTTTACGATACGAATTTTCCATAGAAACGGATGTTGCATTTCATGCGTGCGCATTCTGCGTAGGGCAAAAGTTATAAACAAAGAATATATAATATCGGTATTCAACAACTTCATAAACAACTTGATGTAATGTGAAAGATTAACCATATTAGTTTAAAAAAGTTTATTTTGATAAATAATAGATGCACGAAGGTTCGCTAGTGCATATTAGAGCGCTGAACTATTAAGATCGTGAATACGAAGTTTATGGGCAATATTTCTCTTTCTATCCTCATTTTCCACAATGGCACAGATGTATTACGTTTCGTATATGTTGTCAAGTAATAGTACTCAGAAAAGAACAAAAAACATGCCTATTGAAAGGTCACATTTGTAAGGACCATCTTAACGATGTCGATCGTCATACATGTTGTCTGGAGAAGAATTAGCGACAAAATTACCATACATTTATTACAAAAATGAGATATAAATTTGACAGCAAAAAAGTTAGTTATTTTAAAATGCACTGTACGAAAAAATTATCAGTTTAGAGTGTTACGTAAATGAGTAAACAAATAATTCAATGAAAAATATTGAAATCAAAACTTTTTTAGGATGTACATTTTAAACTTTTTAAGTGAGCAGCCTCAGCATACTTTATCACAGGATTTGAATCTTATTTTTTTATCTTAATTTTTTTTTTCGCCAGTGTTATCCATTTGATTCCATAATGAACTTAGACTGCTTCGAAGAAAGTGTAGGCAAAATCAATAATTTTGTTCATATAAATGTGTACGCAGTATCTTGATTTTTTTTGAGAGTGTACGCAGTATCATAATGTCTATTTCCTGTAAAAAGTTCGTTTTAAGACATTTTTCGTGCAAAGGAAAAATAACAAAATTGAAAATATATTTGTGAAAAAGATTCTACAATAAACTAACCTTCAAGTTGTGTGAAACTTTCAGTTCAATCGACAATTCCTCAATTTCTATAACATTTCAACGCCGGGGGTAAGCACTATCCAGAATCAAAATCGCATTCAACGCGAAATACAAGAAAGGGAAGACTTGTGTCAAGATATTTGGAATATTAAAACTAGAAGTTAGGACATCTTCTTTGCAAAAGAAATTAAATTTAAATCTATTCTGATTGCTTTACATGACTCGTTTTTGTTCAAAATACCAATTGAAAAAGTGTTCGTGGTATCAGAATTTCGAGGATGCGCGCGCATGGTTTAACCCCCTTGATAGTGGGGGCACAAAAAGCCTTGTTCAAACTATCCCTTAAATTTAACACAATGAAATTTTCTCAACAGTATATTAGTTGATCATGCGAAATTTAAAATACTTTAACCGTATAGTTTTTATTTTATTAAACTTTGAAAACATCTGGCATCATATTTTGCTTTTAAATTTGGCACTATTTAGAAAATAAATAACTACAATAATTACATAATTAAAATCAAACACTTTTTTCTTCAATAAGGGCTATGAGAGATACATAAATAATGTTAAAAAGAAAAATAAAGAAAGTAAAAAAAAAGTTGCCCCTTCTTGGGTTTGAACCCACGCCCCCACCCCCCCAATTTCAATGTAGTTGACAAGTGGTTCTAGCCTATTTGAATGTTTTTCAAAGAGGAGATAATGCATTACCTATGGTCTACCTTAAAGGAACTCCACTGAGGTTTATAAGCCTAAAAACAGGAAATTTTATTTTTCACAAAGATAAACATGAGCACTTAAAACATAAATATTAACAAAATGTAACCAAGAAATATAGAAGAAATACATTGAAAATCATATGTTTGTACTATTCTCAGTCCGATTTGAGTGAAAAGCTTTTAAACGCTTTTCAATTTTTGGTAAGTTTTCACTATTATAATAATTATTATGGAAAAACGGAGCAAGCTACTGATCTGAAATTTTGCACATAAGTTATTAGTATAGATCTACATCAAATGGAGTAAAAATCTCCAAAAATTATTTCCAGTCCCGTCATGTCAAAAAACCTCAGTGGAGTCCCTTTAAGGATTTAACAACATTTAAGTGAAATTGTATATATACATATAATTATATATATATATATATAATTATTCTTTTAAAACAATTTTCAAACATCCAAGAATATGTTAAATATGCACTGCAAATGTTTAAACACATTATATGTGATCATTAAAATATATGCAGTCATTCTCTTATTGAAAAATTTGGCTTAAACTTTATAGAAAATAAATTTCTAATTACCTTCCTTTATTTACATGGAATATAAATTCGGTAATATCTGTACAAATAATGCTTTATGGAACTTACAATATTGCTAAATCTTCATTTTATATGATATAAAACCATACAAACATTTGAGTTACAAGATTTTTAAGCTCTTGCTAGAGACGTGAACAGTTGCTTTCACACTACTGCCGTCCATTAACAAGTTCGATTGAACAAAGCATATTTCAATTTTACTGTGTTGAGCAGCCTTTCAGGTTTTGATGTTGATTAATGTGCACTCTGAGCAATACGAATATAAAATTATTTTATCGCATGCAAGATAGTGTTCAGTATACGTACCATTTTTTTGTCCTTTCTTTATCTTGAATCTCCCTAAAAAAATAAATATCATTCATAGTACTCTAATTATAGTTGCATGTTATTTTCAAAAGAGCGCTTTGATGGCACTGGATTGCGGACACGAGACATAGTGCCAGGAAAAAGGTTGTATTTCACCTTTATAATTTTACCAAAGCAGAATATTTTTTAAAATATTTGCAGATGTCTAAACTCATGAATTTGTAATTTTACACAAGAATACTTAATTCAATAAGTGTTACTAGTTAAGTTTATATAAAGCATGTTTCCAAAAGAACCAATTTTGACCGATGGGACATGATTTACATCACTCGAGTAGAGGACTATAAGGTGATTCTACATGCCAACTATCTAAGCTCTGGGTATTGTACTCTCTGAGAAGAATATTTATAATACATTTTCACTATACAAGTCATTGTTGAGTAAGTGATTCCTAGGCCGTAGTCACCTTTAACCCCACAGGCATGACTTATATAACTATTGTACACGTCCGCCAGACAATGCTACATGTCTAATATCTACGCTCTATGTATTGTAGTTCCACAAAAATGACTAAAATTTATTTTATATGCAATAGAGAAAATAAGAATCCCTTTAAGAAAGACCAACACGGCAAAGCTGAACATGTTGCAGGCTCTGTTTGATTGAGCCTGTTCATTTACGGTACTGTCAAGTGCAAACTACCGTCCACACCCCCTGGCACCTGCTTAAGCAAGTCTATTTATTAACCTGGGCCAGTTCTGGCTTCAGGGGCATACTTTAACTTGTGTAGAGGACCACAAGGTGATGTTTCATGCAATCTATCTAAGCTCTGGGTAATATATCTTTGAGACATTGTTACCATATAAGTTTATGTAAACAAAATGACCCGAAGGTTAGGGCCATTTTTACCCCTGGGGCTTGACTAACATGACTTTTGTAGAGGTCCAGTATGCAATGCTTTAGCCAAATAACTTTTGGGTATACAAAATAAATTTACATGAAGGGTTACTTCACAGTGAAATGTCTGTTTTGAGAAAGCTGCCAAAAAAATCAAACAGAATAGCACCGCCTTGCATTACTAAATAAGTTAACCCCTCATGAAAACTTATTTTGTATCAATGACATGAGAGCGAATGCATTTCAAATATATATATACTATATATATATATAGATATATATATTGTAGCTGTAATGGTTCTGTTGTAAATGAATCAGGAAAAACGAAAATAACGTCATAAACTATGAAAACTTATTCTTACCTAAAACTTTTGTCAGTCTTCTCACCATTGTTTGATCTGAAAAGTTAAATTTGTTACATTTTTTAAAACTAACTATCTCTAGTTATACGTTAAACATAACAATGTAGAAAATATTAACTTATAGCATCTGGAAAATTCATTTTATATATAAATAAAACCTGATAATGTGTTTATATATTTTTATGGCAAAGAAAGTTTTTATGTTTTTACATGTATATAGATAAGTTATATCAGAATTTCGTTCTTAACATCATCATCCATATCTTATTCTTTTGTGACGCGTTGTCTTGCATGATACATAACACTATCAACAAAATTATTTATGGTATTACAGAACTTCCATTATGGGTCAATTCACTTTAAAACAAAACTTTGTCGTACAAAAACAAAAAGTTGGAAATTGCTCTTAATATCTTCAGATTAAGAAAAGGTAAATGTTTATCATTATGGGCATTATTTCGGAAAACAGAAATTTTTTTTATCATTGATAACGATGACATATACGCAATAGGTTATAGCCATATGAAACAGAAAGTGACCATAATTATATCTTGAATTATAATGCTCAGACATAATAGGAGAATTTATGTAAAATAGAGAGAAGTTAAGAATTCCCTTCCCTTTAGAACGCACAAAATAGTCAATTCGTCATCATTAATTTCATAATCGATACATTAAACTATATGGTCATCGTAAGAATTGGTCAAAGATTACATATTTTTCAAACACCTTTATAAACGAAGTTTTCAGCAAATAAGGCCTTTCAATTTACTCATTTCTGCAAAAAAATATCCTGAATCCCTATTATAATTGTTTTAGGAGAAACAAACACTATATTTACCGTGCCTTTTTTTTTTCTTAGAATTTATCAATATTTTGATATATTATAACCTACTTTTTAACTATATATTAATGACTCATACTTATGTAACTTTATGGAAATTTTTAAAGATAGTTGTGTTGGATGTCAATGTTTCAAGTCTTGTCAAATTGCAGGCTTATTAAGGAAAGTTCAGGAAACGTTCATTTACATAAATACTTGAGCACTTTTTATATAAAGTATCGTTCGATAAAATGTTCATGTGAAAGTATTTTGGACATAATAGTATTAAATTAAATTTCTTCACTTATTTCGGAATATTTTTAGTTACACTTTTGGGTAATTAGTTAAATTATTTTAAATTTTCTGGATTTTCCCTATCAGATAAAATTGCATTTTTTTCAGACGGTTCAAAATAAAGCGAAACTGAAGTGTAAATTGTTTTAGATCCATTTAGTCAAAAGTTGTTTGATGAAAGAAAGAGCGTAATTTGATGTTTGATCATCTGAGAGACTAAGAGAGCTTGTAGTATAACGCCGAATAATGTCCCTGGATATGTCAGGTAAAGCTAGGGACCAAGACAGCTATCCTGGGGAACAATTCATTATAATTGACTTGCTGATTTACAATCACTCGGCAATTGCGTTTACACGTACGTATCGATCCAGCCAAGTATTGCCGATAGTAACCCATACCTCTTGGTTAAGATTTTTTTAAAAACTGACTTCCTTTATCTGTGCAGACCGCCCTTATTTACTACCTTCACCAGTAGAGAGTCCTTATTAAATCTTGAGATTCATTTAAGGCTGCTGCATTTGTACACATTGTCAGGTTAAGTACAAATAATGTTTCATAGAATATAAAAACAATAAATGCCATTCTCTGTTTTGTTCATGATTAGTATAATGAAGTTTCTGAAGTGATAAACACAATGATAATCTTACATAGAATATAAAAACAATAAGTGCCATTCTCTGTTTTGTTCATGATTAGAATAATGAAGTTTCTGAAGTGATAAACACAAATCGACCTTACCTTCTTCCGTTATCTTTTCAAATTCTGAAAATATAATACATATTAAGAGTAATGAAATAAACGACACTTAAAATTGAAAAATACAGTCACCGGAATATTTACATGCAGTTCTAATTGATATGATTAAATAATATTTCTTCATGTTTCGTTTCCTAAACATGTGTTTATTATTCGACAAATGTCTTTTATTACCTTTACTAACTTTTTATACCATCATGAATTTCGAATGCTCATGCTACAATTATGACCCAAGTTAATCGTTTAACCATTAAAGTAATTTTCTTAAGAAAATTTATTGCATTTCATAATTAGGAGGATATAACGCGAGATCTATAAGAAGTACTACTTTAGTAAAGAAAACTTATTGATAACCCGAATTAGAACCCAAAGAAATGTTTCATAGGCACACTCGCAGAGTTTCATCCAGAATAAAACAGCAAATGTTGTAAATATCAGTCAATCGAAATAGAATGCCGTACGACTGTCATTTGTATTTTAGAATAATTTCTGAAGATGAAATATTACTCCAGTGATATGAGGCAACACTGATGTGTGAGAAAGGCTTAAGGATAGCATATATACGTCTACTATATAATCACAAGCACATACAGTGATGAAGAAGCTATTTTTGAAAATAAGCAAACGATCAGGTGACAATGAACCTGTGGTTGTCAAATAGTATATGGTCCGTCACATGCAATCAAAAAGAGAAAAGTGCAGAGTCCAACTGTAAAAGGGTTTAACACCAACATACGCCTTGAAATAATTGAGAAATAGCCTCTTTTAATAAAACGTTTGGTAATTTTAGTGAAGCCAACAGAGAAATTACTGACACGTGATCCTTTAAAGTTTAATAGAAATCAGGGTTGTAAAAGAGTTTTTAAATTAAAAATAAATTAAAACGTTAAATCTTAATTACAATGGCATAACGTTGTTAAATATTTGCGCAATTTATGATAGCGATAAACATGTTGAAGAAGCTTGCCAGTAATAAAAAAAATGCTTTCATTAAAATCATCCAAACGACTGCACGCCCAAGCAAATCGTATTTACTAAGCAATATATACCACCATATGATGTTGCAATCTAAATGCGGATAGTAAACGACAATAAAACCAAAATAATTTTTATACGGTGTCCCATTCCGTCAACAAAATTTCGCTTGTTACACGCAATAATTATCGCCTTTAAAGTACAAAATTTGGTACTAAATTCTGCATGTCTTAAATTTCGCTAGTCTCTCAAGCGATTTTTATCTCCTTTTATAGAGATTAGGGAAACTTAAATTAGCGAAATTTGAAAACCTCGTCTCGACAATTATCGTCTTAAGTTTCGTACGTGTGTGTTCTTCACGCGATAATTATCACCTGCGCTGATTTTGGCAAAAGAGCAAAATGTAAACACGCGATAATTATTGCCTCTTAGGAAATTTCGCAATTATATCAAATTTCGCTAGTCTCTCATGCGATCATTAGCGCCCTTCAACGAGATAATTATAGCGTGAGAAACACACACAATACGCACACTAACACGATAATTATTGAGGTGTAATTGTTAATTTTGCTAGTATTTATAAGTGTCCCTGGTTTAAGAAAAGCGTTTATTATCGCTTGGGAGACCAGCAAAATTTAAGACATGAGGAATTTAGAACTAAATTTCGGTCTTTAGAGGCGATAATAATCGCTTGTTTACTAGCTAATTTTGTGGACTAAATAGGTCACTGTACTTTTATAATATATTTAAGTTATTATAGTATTGTAAATGACAGAAATGTTTATATCTAAAAAAGATGTAGTAATGTTAAACGAGTTTGGCATATTTTATTTAAGTTCATCAGGGTATTTTAGTAACCATTCGATCAAAATAAAGAAATTTTCATCTTAAGGATATCATCTAGGTAGTGGGAAATCTTATTAAAT